AAGTACCGTTTGCTTATTTTAGTATTCAAATGCTGTACATTCCAATCTACTGATATTAGCAAGAAAATGTGTGAAATTTGTTAAAACATCTTACCTTTAACCTCTATTAACAGATTCTTAGAGTCGTCCATCTCGCCAATTCCACCAATCTCTACAGCACACCAGTAGATACCAGTGTCACTTGTCTTCAGGTTCCTCATGATCACATGGAAAACTAACTGGGCGGGACTATCAGTGATTGACACTTTACTGGAGTTCTTTGGTGAGTCTGTGCGTGTCATGATTGTACAGGAGGACCATAATTGCCCTGTACACCAGTATTTCACATGATCTTTATACTTCTGATCATAGAAACATGGGATGGTGAGAGATTCTCCACTCTGTGCAGTTAAATACCCGAACGTCCTCACACTGTCGCCACCTGCAGTGACATCATGTAAATGGTGACTTAGCAACTCACAGTCTATACAGTCACTGGCAGAACCTATTTCTTAGACTGTGTTTTATTTACCCAGCATTTCTACGGCATCCATGTAAATCAGTGTTTACCAACTGGTCGATTGCCAAGACATTCCTAGTTGATCACAACATCATCTTCCACTGAAGACCCCTCCCACTCTCAATGTGCAAAGTCAACCATTATAACTCACTAACTGTTTGTTTTCTTTGTAGCAGCAGCTTGCAGTGTAAAACTGGTTGGAGACCAAGGGTGTAAATGGCACACGGAGCAATTCACTGTCACGGGCACAGGATTGGTGTCATGGGGGGCATTCATGGGCTATAGCCCGTCCTCCCCAAATGCCCCCCACCAAGATTCTGTCTCCTCTAATATTTTTCAATGCAGTAATTCATCCTAAAGCAAATCAACTGCAGGGCCTCTGCCTGCCTGTCCACTGGCCGGTCAGTGCTAACAGGGCAGCTCTGGAGCAGCACTGGAGAAACAGTGAGACACTGTAATTCACATTACTCCCAGAGAAACCCTCTAGAGGGCGCCAATGGCCCAAGAAATAAGTGACAATTTGAAATGACATGGATTGATACAGAGTATTTAGCAAACTGTTTCACCAAAGGTATATTACTGTATCAGAATCGTGTTTATTGGCCAATTATGTGAGCAAACACATAAAAGGAATTTGATTTCGGTCGATGGTGTCCCTCAAGCACAACAGTATAAAAAAAACAACAATATGTAAAGTCACAATAATGTATATCTCAGAAAAAGGCTGTACTGATTCCACAGTGGGGATATTAGCATCATGTGAAGGTAAAACACTGTCCTTGAGCTTTTTAAATGAAGTACGGAGGTAACAAGAACTTACCTGTTTTCCTATAACAAAATGTTTCTAAATCAGTGGGCTGTATACATTAATCAATTAAATTAATCGCGGGAGGCCTGTCCCCACTGATTTACAACTTTTTTACTGCCACCACCTACTTACAAACCCCCCTCATATGCCCCCCTGTGAAAATCTTGAGCCCGTCAACCTCCTCCCACCGTAGGAGACACTGCTATTGTTAGTGCGATAAATGATGAAGTTCAGCGCATGAGTGAACTCAACTTAGCGGCTATACACTTAACTTTATTAGGGACACCTTGTTAATAGTGACTTGGTCCTGATTTTGCCTACAGAACTGCCTTCATTCTTTCTTGCACAAATTCAACAAGGTAAGTTCTCAGAGTCTTTGGTCCATGTTGACATGATCACATCAGACAGTTACTGAGATTTGTGGGCTACACCTTCATGATGTTAATCTCCTGTTCCACCACATCCCATAACTGCTCTATTGGATCTAGATCTGGCAACTATGGAGGCCATTTGAGGACAGTGAAGTCATTGTCATGTTTAGGAATCAGCCTGAGACAAGCTTTGTGACATGGTGTGTTATCCTCTTAGAAGTAGCTATTACAAGCTGGGTACACAGTGGTCACAAAGGGATGGACATGGTCAGCAACAATACTCAGGTAGACTGTGGCATCAAAATGATGTTCAATTGGTACTAAGGGGCCCAATCGAAGCAATGAAAATATCCGCCACACCATTGGACCATCAGCACCAGCCTTAATTGTACAATAATACAAGGCAAGATGGATCCATCCTTTCATGTTGCTTACAGCAAATTCTGACTCTACCATCTGCCCATCCAAAATTTCTAATTGCCCCCCCAGCCTGAGCAGTCTAGATCCAGGCCTGATCTAAAACACTGTTCAGTTGGTACTAATCTATNCACCAGCCTTAATTGTACAATAATACAAGGCAAGATGGATCCATCCTTTCATGTTGCTTACAGCAAATTCTGACTCTACCATCTGCCCATCCAAAATTTCTAATTGCCCCAGCAGCCTCAGCAGTCTAGATCCAGGTCTGATCTAAAACGCTGTTCAGTTGGTACTAATCTACTAATCAATGGCACAAAAATTTCCCTTACACCATTTGACCACCAGCAGCCTTAGTTGGATACTGAAACAATGTTGTTCATGCCAAATTCTGACTCTACTATCTGAATGTCAAAGCAGTAACTGAGACTCATTTAACCAGCAAAATTGTTCATCCAAATTTCTATTTTGGTGAGCCTGTGCCCATTGTAGCCTCTGTTTCCTGTTCTTAGCTGACAGGAGTGGCACCCAGTCTGGCCTTCTGCTGCTGTAGCCCATCTGCTTCAAGGTTCCTGTTGTGCGTTCAGAGACGATCTTCTGCATACCTTGGTTGTAACGAGTGGTTATTGGAGTTGCTGTTGTCTTACTATCAGCTCTCTGGATTTTATCTGGATTTTGGTTTAATCTTTTTAAAGCCCATTCTGTATAAACCCTTGGAATGGTTGTTTGTGAGAATCTCAGTAGATCAGCAGTTTCTGAAATACTCAAACCAGCCCGTCTGACACCAACAACCCTGCCACCTTCCAAGTCACATAACACACCTTTCTTCCTCATTCTGGTGTTTGATGTGAACATTAACTGAAGCTGCCGACCTGTATCTGCATGTTTTTATACATTGCATACATTGTATCCAGTTTATACATTGTGCTGCTCACTTGATTGGCTGTGATTCTTCAATGTGTAAACAATCTAATGTTGTCTTACAATATTCATGTTTTAAGCTGTTTCATTATAGTTACTAATTACTGACTCACATACCTCCTGCAGACTAGCAACAAATGCACTTACTTACTTCACAGACACTTTGCTCCAAAGCGACATTCAAGTAAAGCAAATATCACATTGGCAACATACACACTGTCAGTAAGTCAACTAGACATAAATGCAGCTAGGCTGAGCTTCCAGTAAATGCCCAGGTACAAGTGTAAGTAGTATTGGAGCAGGAGCTACACAACAACTATACTTCTACACAACAACTTCTAACGAAGCAAACATTATACAGAGCAACTTATCACATAACAGCAACACTAGTAAGTATCAAGTAATAACAGCCAGTGATGACACTGAACAATAAATGATGCCAAACAAGAACACAGGGAAATGAAAAATACAAAATGTAATATATTAAATGTAAATTTAATTAAAATTGATGTTGTCTATTCTTTGTCTAAACAAAGACACCAACCTGAAAATGTAAACTGATATAATTAGGCATTGTTCGTCTTTTATGGTCCTTTCTGGTGAATTTGTGAATATTGCGTAATGGTGAATATTTCTGTCTTACCTGGCAGCCTAATGAAGACGATGTGGAGGAGGAAGAGGAGAGGAACCATGACTGAGTCTGTCAGAGACCCCAGCCCTCTGAAGACTGGCTCTCTCTTCCTGGTCCACTCTGATACCACTGATATCCTTTAATGTCTCTGTTCTCAGAAGAAAAAAGGTGTAACACATGCGCACAGTAACATGCAGCAAATGCGCAGACAGTGTGTGATGCGACATGTTCTATTAAAATAGTCACTGCATATCATTAAAGAGGCTCTATGGAGGGACATTTTGTAACTAAAAATGAAAAGAAGGAAATGACCTCAGCGAAGCAGTACGTCAGAAATGGCCACCATCTTATCACACAACAGGACCTCTGTGGATTCTCATGAACTTTGTGGAGAAACTGAACCTACAAGACTAAGTCCCATCACTGGAAACATCTGCAACATGGGGGATGGATGTCAGGAGAAGGTAAGTATTTTGTGTCAGCAACCATAATGAGTAATCAGAAGCAGAAACCAGGACAAGAAAAGAGGTCTCATACCAAGAGACACAGAGCAACATCAAAATAACAAGTCAAGACACAGGGCATAGGACAGAGCAGAGAGATCAAAAGCAGGAAAATTGACCGCCCCCACCCCCACAAACACCGTTGTAATCCCAGGATTAAGTATCATATTATAACATTTGTTCCCAACGTCAAACAGCTACGAGTGACAACGATGGGAGGAAGGAAAAAGGATTTATTTGGAGATTAGTGGGTAAATTGATTAACAGAAGCAGGACAGTATAATGAAAAACAACAGGCAACATCTCCTCATTGTGCATCTTGAACAGAGTTTAATTATCTGACCACTGGATACCAGGCACCAGTGGGGAGGTGACAGTAACTGCAGGTTGTCCGAGTATAACAAGGAGTTGATGTCATATTCCAGCCACTCTTTATTATGCAAGAAGCAGACGCTCAGCCACTGTTGTAATTACTACTGAGCGCAGAAGGGCAGGAGGGCGTCTCACTCGGGGCCCCGGATTTCAGGAAGTGTCTGTCACAGCTGGAGGCGGGATCAGAAGGGGCGTCAGTGCAGTCAGAGCCCCGTCCTAAGGAGCTGTCACTGCTGCTGGCCTCCCTAGGAGAGAGACCCCAGTGATCACTGCCCTGTTAGGGGGAAGAGAGAGAATCACATCCTGGGATATAAACCGAGGCTCAAGTCACTGCACCAGTACTTACACTAGTCTGAACACACTTTTCTCTTATTTTCTTTTCCAGTTTATTAAGACCCAGCATTTACCAGAACTTACTGTGGTTTCTCCAGGTGATGATGGCCACTCCAGTACACAGCAGGTAGACCAGACCAACAGCAGCGTGAAGCAGAAGGTGCCAAGTGTGGTCTCTGGTGGATAAGCAAAGAACATGCATTCAGTGGAAACTTTATCCACCTTTTG